GGCGAGGGTGGGGGTGGGGGCGGCGGCGAGGGCGGCGGTGGTGAGGGCGGCGGCGGCGGAGGCGGCGAGGGCGGCGGCGGGGACGGCGGCGGCGGCGGCGGCGACGGCGGCGGCGACGGCGGTGGCGGCGATGGCGGTGGTGAGGGTGGAGGGCTAGGCGAAGGCGGCGGCGAGGGCGGTGGAGACGGTGGCGGCGGCGCTGGCGGAGGCGGACTCGGTGGCGGCGGCAAGGGTGGTGGTGGGGAGGGCGGCGGGGAAGGCGGCGGCCTCGGAGGTGGTGGTGACGGCGGCGGGAAGGGCGGCGGAGACGGCGGCGGCGGTGGTGAGCTCGGGGGAGGAGGTGAGGGCGGCGGCGGCGAGGGCGGCAGTGGGCTCGGGGGCGGCGGCGAGGGCGGCGGTGGTGAGGGCGGCGGCAGGCTGGGGGGCGGCGGTGATGGGGGCGGCGGCGATGGCGGAGGCGGGCTGGGAGGCGGCGAAGGAGGTGGCGACGGCGGCAGGGGCGATGGTGGCGGCGGGCTGGGGCGCGGCGGTGAGGGCGGCGGCGGTGAGGCGGCGAGGGTGGTGGAGGAGAGGGTGGGGGGGTGACGGTGGTGGTGGCGACGGCGGAGGAGGGGAGGGGGGCGGTGACGATGGCGGCGGTGATGGTGGCGGAGAGGGCGGCGGTGGCGATGGTGGAGGTGATGGGGGCGGCGATGGCGGTGGCGGAGGGGGCGGCGATGGTGGCGGTAGCGGCGGCGATGGCGGCGGCGGCGGCGATGGCGGCGGCGGCGGCGGTGGCGACGGTGGCGGCGGCGACGGAGGTGGCGGAGGGGGAGGCGACGGTGGCGGTGACGGCCCGGTGGGTCACGATCGGGCCCGCCGCCGGTAGTGGGTGGCCTCTGCCTGGAGCCTGGACACCGCGTCCCCTCTGTGTAGGCCCGAGACTCGCCCGCCGCCGCCGCCGGTGGCCTCTACCTGGACCGTCCGTCCCGTGGACACCGGTCCCCTACCTGTCTAGGCTCGAGAGGCTGCCGCCGGCCGTGCTCCGAGAGCTGCAGGCGCCAGCGGTGGCTGTGTCGCCGGACGGGGTGAGGGAGATATGGGGAGATATGCGGAGATATGGGGAGATGTGTCGCCGGACGGGGTGGCCGCCGCGCTCGCCTCTTCGTGCAAACACGTCGTGGACGCGTCCAGGACACGCGTCCGCACACCCCGCCCCCGTTAGGTGATGCTGCGCCTGTCGCCCGCGGACACGTCGACGACACGTCGACGACACGCCCGCGCACACACCCGTAGGTGGCGCTGCACCTCAGCTCGCGCTCCCGGACGGGCTACCGCGGCGTCGACATCAAGGTAGCCCGGCCTCCTAGAAGCACAATGCTTAGACGACACGCCTCTCTCTCTAGTGTGTCGTGAGAGAGGCGTGGCAGAGGTGGCAGAGGTGGCAGCGTGAAGCCGGCAGCCTGACTTCGGAGAAGAGGTCTCAGAAGACAGCCTCTCTCACAGCACACGGGCACGACAAGGGCGTGGACGGGCGCACGCTAGCACACACACCGGCACACGAGACGCAGAATGCGTAGTCTTCCGACCAGCGCTCGAGAGGACGACATGTGCGGCGTGTGAGACCACGATACCGACGCCGTACATCGGCTTGATTTGGAACGGCACCCTCAGTAGCCGCGGCATGATGAGAGCTGAGAAGGCGCTGAAGAGGTGATCGGGTGTGAACTGCACTCTACTAGCTCTGCTGGTGCTGCCAGTGTGCTCCGAGGGGGCCCTTTACTCTCGTACACACAACACACTTTACTCGTACACACACACCTCAGGTGGAATGATTCGCCTTCCACAAGAGTCAAGACACACGGACTCAAGCGACATCGCACGCCTACAGCGTAGCCTACACGTAAATTTCATTAGCGAGGCCGGCGTGGCGCGGCGTCCCGCTCTCCCGGTCGTTCTTCGTCATAGCTCCGATTCTTCCTTGCGTTTTGGACGTCGGTTCTTGACTCCTGCACTCCTCTCCGAGACGCGAGGGTCGCCCCCCCTTGCCCCCCACCTTGGGTGTGTGAGAAGTTTACCTTACGGCTTTCTTAGAGACCTTACCTTACCTCCTCTTTGCTCCCCTCCGGAGCGCCCCCCTGCGGCCCCCCAAATAGCAGCGCGATCAGCCGGTCCACCTGCTGCAAAAGCCCTCCCTCAGCGGCGACCCCTGTGCTCTCGTTCGCCGCCGCCACCGCCGCAGAGAGCGAGGAGCGCGCGTCCAGCCCCAAATGCGTACAGATCCGCGAGACCTTCTGCGGCAGCGTGGCGCCGTGGAAGGTGCCTCCGACGCCTCCTCCCACAGCGTTGTTTGCGGTTGCCGGTGGCGGGGCGGCCGGTGGGGGTTCTAGCTCGAGCGCCGCGAGTCGCATGGTGAGCGCCTCCTCGCGTGCCGTCGCCGCCTCCGCCTCCGCCCTCGCTGCCTCCTCCCGCCCCCTTGCTTCCCCCTCTCGCCCCCTCGCCTCCTCCTCCCTCGCCCTCGCCGCCTCCGCCTGCAACCTCGCCTGTTCCGCCTCTAACCTCGCCTGTTCCGCCTCTGACCTCGCCTGTTCCGCCTCTGACCTCGCCCGTCCCGCCTCTGACCCCGCCGTCGCCTCGCAAACCCTCGCCGCCGCCGCGTCTGACCTAGCCTGGGAGAGCGCCTGCTCGATCGCCGACCGCGTGCTGGACTGCTCAGCCTGTGACGTCCTCAGCGGTGCCGCGGCCCGCGCCGCCTCCTCCTGCCGCGCCCGCGCCTCCATCTCGTCCACCAGCGCCGCCCGCGCTGCTCGCTTCCGCTCCTCCGCCGCCGCTCGCGCTGCCTGCTGTCGCCTGCCGCGAGCCTCGCTCTCCACCGCAGCCGCAGCAGCGGCCTCGGCCCTAGCCTCCCTCTCCAAACGCTCCTCCCTCTCCCGCCGCGCTGCCTCGAGCAGCCTCGCCTGCCGCTCTCGTTGCGCCGCCCGCTCCGACTCCTCCGCCCGTCGCGCCTCCTCGGCTGGCGTCACGCGCTCCTCCTCGTCGCTCTCTGAAGCGGACTCGCGCGCTGGCGCCGCCCTAGAGGTGGTGGAGTCGCCGCAGGCGGCCGATCCCTCTGCTCCTTCGGTTGCACTGCTCCTCGACCCGCGAAAGCCGCTCTGCTTCTTCTTCCTCCTCCTCCTCCTCCCCGCCTCTTGAAGTGGAGGCGGAACCCTGGCCGCAGCTTCCTCCTCCAGGAGCTCCGCCGCCAGCTGCTGCCGCCGCTCCGCCTCTGCTGCAATGTCCTCTGCCGTCTGCGACGCGGCTGCTGCCACAGCCCGCTCCTGCTCCTCCCTGCGCGCGGCGAGCGCTCGGCGCGCTCGCAATACATTCTCGGGCACGGACGACACGGCGCACGGATCGTCGCGGCTCAGGGAGGCGATGTTGACCGGCTGGTTACCGGAAAGCAAGGCCTTGTTTGAAAAGCGCATCGCGAGGCTGTCCGGCTCCAAACCCAGGCCCACCACCTCACCACGCGAGCCGCGCACGAGGATGCCGCGCCCGACGATCTGGTCCTCTCCGGTGAAGTAGAGATGCTCGCCGAGAATGAAGCCGCCAGGAAGCGAGGGCGCCGGCTCGCGGCTGAGCTCTTCGGCCCGGCAGTGGATGTCCCCTCGGTTGCCGGAGAAAGACATGGAAACCGCGTCGGCGTCGCCGTTGCGGGCGGGGCCGGTGACCGATCCTCGGCAGCCAAACACGGCCTTGTCCCCCTGCTCGTCGACGAACCCTCCGCCAATAAAGTAGAGCTCCTCTCCCACTCTGAAGCCACCGGGCAGGCTCAGCTCGTGGGACAGCGAGGCGAGTCCGCATTCTATCCAGCCGTTGTTCCCTGGGAAGAGAAGCTGCAGGCCATTGCCTTGGTGCTCGCCGGTCGCTGGGCCGACGACCTCGCCCTGCTGGCCGTGCATGACCTTATCGCCACTCTCAAACGACTGGTTCGAGCCCGTGTAGTACAGCTGGTCGCCAAGCTCGTGACCGCCCGGCAGAGGCGGCGGCTTCTCGAGGCTGAGCTGGGGCAGAGAGCAGTCTACCCAGTCTTTGTTCCCTGGGAAGAGCATCTTCAGGCCGTTGCCTTGGTGCGCGCCGGTCGCAGGGCCGATGATCTCGCCCTTCTGGCCGTGCACGAGCTTGTTTCCAGACTTGAACGACTGGTTCGAGCCCGCGTAGTACAGCTGGTCGCCAAGCTCGTGACCGCCCAGCAGAGGCGGCGGCTTCTCGCGGCTGAGGTTTGGCAGATAGCAGTTTATGGAGCCTTTGTTCCCTGGAAACAGGACCTGCAGGCCGTTGCCATGGTGTGTGCCCTCGGTCGCGGGGCCGACGACCTCGCCCTGCTGGCCGTGCGTGAGCGTATCGCCATTCTCAAACGAATGGTTCGGGCCCGTCCAGTACAGCTGGTCGCCAAGGTCGTGACCGCCCGGCAGAGGCGGCGGCTCCTCGCGGCTGATACGACAGCGTCGAGAATTGCAATATCCCGAAGAAAGAAAGGACCGTGTTCACGAGGTGGCAGAAAAACGCTGCGGACAACGGCAAGGCGGGGGTTACTGACGGCTGAAAAAAAGGGCTCTCATGGGGCCGGTCACCTATGTCGTGGGACATTGAGCTCCCGCAGATGGACTCCTGCGATTCGAAGGGATCGGGTTGGCCAGCAGCCATCAGAGGGCGGGCGAAGGCGGAGCGGACCTGCTTTTCGGTCTCCATCGTCGGCAGAAGTCGCGACGCGCCGCGGATCGAGCCCGAGAGAGGAACGTCGCTCAGCTTTCACGAGGGGCAACGGACGACCGGCCGACGACTATATTGCAACATGAACAAAGAATTTTACAAAAGCTCCCTCGCACAACCCTCCCTCGCACGACCCTGGGTTCTACGGCTTCAACAAAAGCAATCGCACAGCAGACAGGTTCGACACAGGTACCAAAAGAGGCACAGTGGCGAGATCGAGCCCGAGAGAGGAACGTCGCGGTTGTCAGCGCTTTCACGAGGGGCGGACGACCCTAGGGACGACCTCACTCAGTGTGCTCCGCGGCTCACCAGTGTGCGCCGCGGCGCCGTCCAGCCACTTTGGCGGCCAGCCACCGGTCGAAAGGTATTTCATGCTCTATTGACTGGAATTCCCCCCAAGTTAAAATCAGGTTAAAATGAGGGGGCGCGGGACGCGGCACTCACACACACTCACAAACGGGGCACAAACGCCAGGTACAAATCCCACCGCTCTTTATACTCGTTTATTCACGAGGCGACCCCAGGGTATCTAGGTTCCCTGGGGCGTGCTGTACACGTCGCTGCCCGCGCCATGCTACCGCTTCCCCCAGCGCCGGTGCAGCGCTGCCATTACCGCGCACGTAGTAGTGCAGCGGGGCTATTCCTTTGTGTGTCACCGAATGTGCCCGTCTGGTGCCCATCGCGAGACTATTACGCCCGATCCGCCCTATTGAGACTTCCGTCGGGGTGTTCCCGATTCCCAATTCCTATAACGAGTGCAGAATAGCGCCCAGAGGCCCGAGCCTGGCGGCCGCGCCTGGACTCGCCACCGTGGGGGCGGGCGTTATCGCCCGCTCCCCGCGACGGTACAAACAGCGAAGAAGACGCTGTGCAAATCCCCAAAGTGCTGTTTTCACGGTGGTGATGTTGCTGCTGCTGGTGCATATGCTGCTGCTGGCGCGGCGCGGCTCTGCGACTCGGCTCGAGACGCGCGTCGGAAGCATCTGACACGGCGGCGTCGGGCAGGTTGCGCCTCTCTCTGGTGCTGGTGGTGCTGGTGGTGCTGGTGGTGCTGGTGCTGATGCTGCTGCTGCGGCGCGGCTCTCCGACTCGACTCGAGGCGCGCGTCGCGGCAATCTGACGCGGCGGGCGGCGTCGCGGGCGGCAGCGATCGCGGCTCGACGGTGGAGGCTGCTGCTGGCTGCTGCAGCTGCTGCTGCTACTGCTGCTGCTGCTCCGCTGCTGCTGATTGTGGCTACGATTTCTCCGATCACCCCGCCCGCCCGCTCCGCCCCGCCCGCCCGCCTCTCCCCGCTTGCCCGCCCGCCCGCCCGCCCGCCCCGCCCGCCCGCCCCGCCCGCCCGCCCGACCACCCATTCCCATCACCATCTCACATACCTTCATATAGGCGCTCGAGACTTCCTCTCGCTGCCTACTCGCTGCCTCGAGGGAGGAGGGGAAGAGGTCAGGCAGCATTCAATTGCGCTTGGCGCGAGGCCCCTCCCCGAAAGGCAAGTGTTAGCCACATGAAACCGAGACCCCTCCCCACCGCCCCGACCCCCCCACCCCCTTGCTCCCCTCCCCCCCTCGGGAGGGCCGAACTGAGGCGCCCGAGGGGACCCCGCAATTCCCTTCCCCCCTCGGAGGGGGCCGGACGAGGCGTACCCCGAGGGCCCCACTCTTTCCTTCGCATAGCGGCCACTCTTCGGATCGCTGGTCGAGCGACCCGGGGGATGCCCCGCGCGCCTGACCCAGGCGCGAAAACGAATCTGCGAGGCGTGGCCGCTCACGCGGCCCGATGGGGAGGAACGGGGCGAGCCCCCTCCAACCCACCCGCGCTAGGTCTCGGGTTTGACGCATGGGGTCACTCCCGCGAAACTCGGGAACTAGCCGGGGCAGTCGGAGAAGTGGCAACTCCGTGCACTGACGGTCGGCCGTCAGAAAACACGCCTCCGTGGCTCGGGTTACACCAATCCTCGCTACCCAACGCGGCCAAAGGATATCCACCTCGAGAACCTCGAGAGAACCTGTTTTCACAGCCTGGGCAGTCGGAGAAAGGGCAACTCCGTGCACTGACGGTCGGCCGCCAGAAAACACGCCTCCGTGGCTCGGGTTACACCAATCCTCGCTACCCAACGCGGCCAAAGGATATCCACCTCGAGAACCTCGAGAACAACCCGGCTGGCAAGGCTGTGAATGCCGGCATCGCGTTCCGCGCGGACCGCGACCAGGCCCTCTCCCTACGCCCGGCCGGCCGCCCGAGAAGAACGGCGCAGCTCCTTCTTTGGCCGGGCGCTCGAGTTTGCCACCGCGCCGTTCACATACCTTCTCGGCGGCGTTGAGGCGGAGGCGGAGGGCGCTAGCCCGACCGTGCTCGCTGACCTGCGCCGGGGCAACCTGACCTCGCTGAGCGCTCTCCTCTCCGACCGGACGCGCGGCGCGGCGCTATCCGCTAACGGCCCTGCTCGACGCGCGGCTCGAGGCCGAGAGCCAGTTCACGCGGTCTCGCATTATAGCGGTTTACTCGGCATCAGACCGACAACAGACCGAAAGACAAAGAGCGAAACCGAAAGACATTCAACACGACGAACGACCCGGACCCATGCGTGCGTTTACTGCGTGGCGTGCGTGCGTGTGCGTGTGCGTGTGCGCACGTGTATGCGAATGTGTGCACAGAGGGCGCCACCGGAGGAGGGGAGTGCGTGCGTGCGTGCGTGCGTGCGTGCGTGTGCGAATGTGTGCACTGGACAGAGGGTGCCACCGAAAGAGGGGGGGGGGGGGGAGGCCTTACCCCAAACAAAAAACCAGACGCGGCGAGCAACAGCAGGAGCAGCAGCGGCAGCGGCAATCTGCCGAACTACAGCCGTGCAGACACGGCGAGGAGCAGCCGGAGCAGCAGAGCAGCCGGTGCAGCGTCAGAGCAATCGGAGCAGCGGCCCGACGGAGTCAGTGCATCCTCGCGGGCGCGAGCGCCGCCCACCTATTCACAGCCAGGAGGTGTGAAGAGACGCCATTCCCAGTGCATCCTCGCGGGCGCGAGCGCCGCCCACTTTGGAGACGGCGGGCCGGGCGCGCTGAGCGTGAAGGAAGCTTGCGGGGAGAGCTTGCCGAGCGACGCGAAGGCGGTGCCGTAGGAGCCTAGTCTCCGGTCCTCTCGGGTCCTCTCGGGTCCTCTCGGGTAGTCTCCGGTCCTCTCGGGTCCTCTCGGGTCCTCTCGGGTCCTCTCGGGTCCTCTCCGGTCCTCTCGGGTCCTCTCGGGTACTCTCGGGTGATCTCGGGTCCTCTTGGCTACTCTCGGCTACTCTCGGCTACTCTCGGGTCCTCTCGGGTCCTCTCGGCTCCTCTCGGTGCCGTGCGAGCTTACGTCGTGAATACGCAAACACAGTGGAGTACGGCTGAGCACGTTCCCTCTCGAGTGCTGGTTGGGAGACATGGACACGTCTTCCGCTTCTAGGTGGTACGAGCCCGGCGGCAGGTGCAGGTTGGGGTAAGGCATCGTCGGCGCGGAGGCGGCGACGGAGGGCGACCCGGGTAGCGAGAGCGAGGAGCGCGAGGAGCAGGAGTTGAAATGGCGCTCCGAGTCCATCTCAATCTCGCGCTCCAGCCGCAGCTTCTCCTCCTGCGCCGCGATGCGGATCTCGTGCTCGAGATTACCCGAGATTGCCCGAGATTGCCCGAGATTACCCGAGATTGCCCGAGATTGCCCGAGATTACCCGAGATCACCTGCGCCGCAATGCGGATCTCGTGCTCGCGCGCGACCTGCTAAGTAAGCAACGGGTGATCTCGGGTCATCTCGGGTGATCTCGAGTGATCTCGTGCTCGCGCGCGACCTGCTCCTCAGTGAGTCACGGGTGATCTCGGGTGATCTCGGGTGATCTCGGGTGATCTCGGGTGATCTCGGGTGATCTCGGGTGATCTCGGGTGATCTCGGGTGATCTCGGGTGATCTCGGGTCCTCTCGGGTCCTCTCGGGTCCTCTCGGCTCCTCTCGGCTCCTCTCGGCTACTCTCGGCTGCTCTCGGCTGCTCTCGGCTGCTCTCGGCTGCTCTCGGCTGCTCTCGGCTCCTCTCGGCTACTCTCGGCTCCTCTCGGCTACTCTCGGCTCCTCTCGGGTCCTCTCGGCTACGCTCGAGTGATCTCGGGTGATCTCGAGTGATCTCGGCTCCTCTCGTGCAATCTCTCGGCCTTGTGCTGCAAGCCCGCGTTGTCAGCTTGCAGCCTCGCCAACTCGCGCTCGAGCTTCTCCGACGACGCCCGCTGCGCCTGCAGTGAGAGAGGCAGCCATCAGTCTCGGGGACTCTCGGGTACTCTCGGGTACTCTCGGGGAATCTCGGGTATTCTCGGCTCCTCTCGGGTACTCTCGGGTGATCTCGGGGAATCTCGGGGGATCTCGGGGGATCTCGGGGAATCTCGCTGCGCCTGCTGTGTGAGAGGCAGTCATCAACCCTACCAGCGTGAACCCCCCCTCTCTCTTCTGACGACACTTGCTGCGGGCCTCGCACTCGGTCCGGTACCGCTCCTGCGCCTTACGGGTGTGAATAGAGGTGTGTGAATAGAGGTGTGTGAATGGAGGCGTCATCGCATTCCCTGTGGATATAGTTAGGAACGAAGAAGCTCCCTAGCTGGAGCTCACCATAAGCTTCCTTCCAAGGACCTGTGCCCCAGCTTAGAGCCCACTTTTAGGAGGCGGGGATCCCA